ACCTTGAAGGTGTTTTCCAGCTCCATGGCCCTCATCTGGAAACTAAAGGAGGAAACACACTACGTGGCAGAACCTGGGGCACCATGCTGGTCGAGGCAGAGTGCGAAGCCAGGAGGGCAGACCACAAGCGACATGGAAACACAGAACATATGTGGAAGTCCGGTGAGGCTGCTCTGATCCTCTGGTACTTGGGTATAGGGAATGACAATGCCAATCATCCTAAAACATATATTGCCCTTCTGAGGACTCCTTGTGGTTCCCAGAATTCTTATAAAGTCCTCGGTTTGGTGCATTTCAAAACGGCCTCTTCTTTGACATTTTGCAGTAGAACAGCCATCTGGCTCTCACATCCTCCATTCTCTGCACTGCTGATTGCCAGGCCACAGCAATAACCACTGAGCCCATGAAGCTGTCCGTTCACGATCAGGCTCCCGGCACTCAGAAGGCCCTCCGAAGGCCCTCCCTCCCTATGCTCCTGGAGTGACGGGCTGAAGGCCCGTCCCTGTGAGCCAGCCAGACAGAGCATTAGCTAGGAAGATCTGTGAAAAGTCTCGACTTCCTGCCAGACTTCCCATTAGCTCTCTTGGATCTCCCCTCCCTCCTTTCTTGTCTCCCTTCCTTTGCTAATTCGCATTCCTGTTCCCAGCACCCTCCCCATGCCCCAACTTCTGCAAACTTCCAGACTCCTCTAAATGCTGATTCTTAAGTTGAAGAGGGGTTTGAAGTAGACCCATCATTCCCTCACTGAGTTTTAGGGCCTGAAACAGAAGGTGTTTTCTTGTCGCAAGAATATGACCTTTAAATCTGGGCAGCAAGGTTAATACCAGGACATTATTTGAAGACTCATCCCTGGAGCCAGCACAAATCAGGCATAACCCTGCTGCTGCTGCCTTACTCCGGTGCCACTTCCAAGGTTGCAATTTTTTGAAAATGTGTTTATGCGTAATGCTCAAGGAAGGGAAGACAGAGAGTGAGGAGAAAGGGGGAGAGGTGGAGGCAGCAATGAAAAAAGGGGGTAATGAGGAAAAATGAAAGAGACAGAGGGAGAGGGAGAAAGGAGAGGGATAAGGGTAGAGTGGAGGCAGATAGCAGGACAGATAGCAGCAAAGGACGACATGTTTTGATTTATTAGAGAAAACAAAATGCCTGCAATATTAAGTAGCACTGTTTCTTAATCAAAGCTTTATTAAATTTCAGTAATAAAAAGCTAAGTGGTTTTTGGATAGGATAAAGCATAAAAGGGCAACGCCTTTAATACAGGGAAATTTAGGGGCGGATTTGTGCATGTGTGAGTGGAGAGGAGGGAACTGACACGAGGAAAGGCAGGCGATTTGGATGAGACCATTCCAGCCCACGTAGATACAAAAAGGACCCTTGACTGAGAAATGCTTTTTAATTTGTAGGATCTCCAATTGCTGAGACAATTGGGAAAGAGGCCTAGGAATTCCAAGCTTATTTTGCTTGCTATTGCCCAGGAAGGAAAAGAAATGAGAAATGCATTTCAGTTCTTTTCTCTCTTCCTACTCTCTGCATATCCTACACGCAGAAGAGACTTGATAAAGGGAGAAATAATGAGATCTTCCTAACGCAGCCCCAAAGTCCTTCCCCTTCCTTTTTGCTGTTACTGTGGGTGGGCTCCAGTCTGCCCAGCCCTCAGTCCTGCTTTTTCTGTTACTGGTGGGGATTGCCTCCCACCAGCCACTACTGCACAGGGCCTTGATGACCTTAGATTCTCAACCCTACCCTAGTGTTTACTGCTAGGGAGCGCTGACGGTCCCCAAGGTACTTGATCTTTAGTTCTAGCCTTATTGAGACCGGGGAATGCTCTTCCTTCGTGATGCAATTCCAGAGATCTGCTACAATGGCCAACTTTCATACTAACTGACGAGCATGCATCAGGGCCAAAATAATCACCAAAGGGGTGTGCCTTTAGGAGCTAAATGTTCACATAAACATTCCCACATATCAGTGCCAGATGGTGAGGTTTTGAATTTTAGACAGAAACTGCATTTAAGTTCAACTGATATGAACTCGCTCTGGGATCCAAATCGACAGACATTCCATGTCAGGCCTTAACTATGCGTGACATATAGACAACATAAAGCAACTGGACAACTGCATGACACTCATATACCCTGCAGCAACCCCAGCCTCACTGGAGTGGTATCATCTACATCCATGCCATGCAGTACTTTGGTTAGGCTGGTAGAATAATGGTGACTGCCTGGTATGCTAGGACTGCTCCTTCCCAAATCCAAGACAGACTTGGCTATTTAAATGCAGTCCTCTCTCGTGCCAAGCTCAAATACGATCTCAGAATTCTTCTAGCACACACTGGGCTTGTCACTGGACTAGAACCTATTTTCCTCTGCTTGTTCTCGAGATCCTCTAGAACCTGCTCCTCTCCTAAGTAATTTGTGAATGCGCGTAAGGGTGTTCTGGCTTCGGTGTTCTTACCTCTTAGGAACCCGCATGAATGATGCCAATGCTGAGGAATTTAAGATCAATTATGCGAGAAGTACATTTCTGTGAAATATAAGTAAAGGCATTTGGGGAGGGATCCCTCGAAACTTTGAGTGGGCTTCAGCTCACATGTGTACCCAAACGTACATCTGTGATTCTCTGCAGAAGGCGATTTTGACCCCTCATTCCCACCATGGGGGGATATTGGCACTGTCTGAAGATAATTTTCTTTGCTACAACTGGGAGCGATACCGGCATCTGGTGCGTAGAGACCAGGGATTTGGCTAAATATCCTTCGATGCACAAAACAGACCCTCACAACAAAGAATTATCCAAAATGCCAATGGTGCCAAGGTTGAGAAACCCTCATGTACATTAAAGCTGAGTATTTAGTGGTAGAAAGAAGGTTAGAAAACCTCTCACCCAACTCTCTCATGTCGTAAATAAAAAACCCAAGACCCAGACAAAGACCTGCATAGACAGCTCAACCAAATTAGCAAATAACCCCTATACATCCTTCAAAGGGGACATTAAAACCTGTATTACCTGTGGAGGACAGCAAGCTATCAGTTCCCTAACAGTTGATTAGTGTGAGTACATGGAGATTAGAACAACAAATGTTAAAATCATAGGTTCTCTGATTTTAGAAGGAGGGCAATATTGCCATTTTTGTACTTGTGAATATCACAAATCAGTCATCTGTTTAAAATTTTAGTCAACAAGTATTTATTTCAGGCTCTTTATTGTGCTGAGGCAAGTAGAACAATGATCAATAAAGACAACCCTTTCTCCCAAAAGCTTGCAATCAGCTGAGAGAGATGGACAGTAACCACTTCAATACGGTGTAATCAATGCTGAGATGCAAGAATTAAGCTCTGTAGGGAGCGCAGAAATTAAAAACTCTAAAAGCTGAGCCCCCAGCGTAGCGTACTCAGCACAGCCAGAGTGCTGAAAACCCAGCTGAATGGTCTGCGCCTGAATAAAGCCATTTTTGCACCCGCTGTTGGTTTCGCACGTTTCCTATTGATACAGTTAGTAACTGGCATGTGACTACTTTCAGGTCGTTGCACATGGTGGGTACATTTTATATCAGAACACTTAACTCTAAGCTTAAGGGCTGAGGAGCGTGTGCATGTAGACAGTAAGTTGGCCGTACTGAGCCCTCAGGGCTCCCTTCCCATGAAACATCAAGTTCCTCCTGGCCAAGGCCGGGCTGGGGAGATTCAGGAGAAAGCTGCTTTCCCCAGACAAGGCATTCTCAGGCCGCCCGCAAGCACCTTCGCTTCCTGCAATTCATCACTTACTGACCTGGCTACATCAAACACTGGGCATTTCAGAGCCACAGAGTGAGCAGGGAAGTAACGAGAATAAAATGCCAACCATGACACACATCCAGTCTGAAGAATGAACAGTCCTCTCCCCAGGACCCGCAGGTAACACTTTTCCATGCCCTTCCATCTCAAGGGCTCCATAACCTCTCACTCTCCACTCCCCAGACTGTTCTCGCCCACCACCTGCACTCTACCTGCGGGTCATAAAGCTGCGGATAGGCTTGTGTCTCATAGCAAGTTCCAATAAACCAAATGAATTCAAGCTTCAATTTTTCTTCAGTCTATAAAGGGAAGCATCATCCTGTGATTTGGCTCCTTCCCTGTGTTTGCGGTTGACAGAGATGTATGGTTGGGTAGAGAGGGCATTTTTATTTTTATTTATTTATTTATAAGTTTTATTAAAGTTCACCTATTACCTACAAGCCTCAGGCTCCCTATAGAGAAACAAATATCACAATTGAAGCAGCTGGTTTCCAAGGTGCCAAATTAAAATAGATGAAGAGGTAAGGAGCGGAAAAAAATAAAAACATTAAGCTAAGACTTCTTCCCTCCCAAGTGCACTGTGCCTGCTTCTATATTGCACACATGAAATTGACTCCCAACATAATTAGGCCAGGGCTACTAGGCAAAAAAAAAAAAAAATCTTCAAATTATTCAGCCCCTCAGAGCTATTCTTTTGCAATCACTCAAGTAACTGAGAAAAGAGCCAACTTTTTAATATAAATTTGTTATCAGCATCTACATTGTCCAAGCAATTCTCAACACTCTATATGGCCAAGAATATAGAGTCATAAGCCGAGTTGTGTTGAGAACCAAATGCAAGAATACTGCTTCCCACCCAGCCACAGTCTTTTCTTCCAGTGGACAATCCCACTGGATCCTGGAGTTTATGCCACCAATCCTTTAGGGTTGCTGGCCCTGCTAAGAAGGAGCTAGAGAGGACCCCAGGGCTGCAGTAGACAACATACCCCCTTCAGGTCAGTTATCTTGGCGGCATCACGTACAGACATGTCCACATGAAGAGAGATTTACTTTCTCCTTGTAGTCATGTACTTGGAACAGCCATAATATTCTCCATCTCACCCCAAAGATCCAGAACCTGGCTCTGCTGCCTTACAGGTCAAATACGAGCCACAGGAACAGGAGAGTACCTTTCACTAAAATCAGAGGGGGGAGAAATAACCACTCTTCAAAAGAGGTGCTTACTGGATTTCAGCAATGCTGCCAAAACTTCAGTGGCTACCCTGGGGAAAGAGAAAGAAAAGTGAGAAGTCAATGTTCAATGGTCTTTTTGTCAGCCCATGGATCCCACAGCCAGCGTGCTCCTTGCTGCCACCTAACAGACCCATGATTAACCAGGTAGCAGGCATCCTATCGATCGCCCACTGACCAGTAAAGAGGCATAAATGCAGAAACCGTGCTGAGTGAAGGGTCTGCTTGCAAATGGGTCTCAGAGGTCCCCTCTGCTGCTGAAAATCTTTTCCTCTCCTCTTCTTGCCTCCCACTTTCCACCAACTTCCTTGCACAGAGCGGCTCGTTTTTCTGTCCATACCAGCCAGAGCTCTTGTCAGTCTCTTAATTTGTACCTGGAAACAGGTGGGGATGCTGGAAGATGGGCAGGGAGGGAGCGGGACTTGGAGGCTCAGTGATGGCCGCAGTGCAATGCAGACTTCTTGAAACACTCATGTCCCTGGGGATGCCGTGGACCATGCACTCACACACTAGAAAGCAAGGTTGTTTCCTTAGGGTGGAAATGGTTATGTCAAGATTTTCCTTCCAAATTCATCACTTTCTTCCATGCAGGAATTGCACAATCTTTGCAGTGAAAGGAGGCATATGAGAATGAAAAACATGTTTTGGCCCATGTGTTAGTGATCTTTTAATCTGTTGCCTGAATCTGGGAAGGTCCCTCAAAGACCCACCCACAGGGCAGAGGTAAACTTCACTGGTGTGGAGAGCACTGTGGTATGAGTCTGGGAAGGAGAGTCGTGTTTGCTTTTCTAAATGGCCACAGTAACTTATCTTTAAGGCATATGAAGCAGTGAGTGATCTGTTCCCACCACCTCTCTGAGGATTGAGGAACCAGGCCAAAGAGGCTGGCTCACCCTTCCGAGATGATATATAGACAGTGAGCAGAGCTGGGACCCCAGATCTAGGAATCTGTCTGCCCATCTCTGCTTCCTCCCCATCTGTTGTTTTCTAGAATTTCTCTCTTGCTGACCCTGCCCTGGCCTCTGCCTGGTTGATGAAAAATGGTTCTCTTTATAATGTATTAGCTAATATTGAGTGACAGAGCCAGCAGTAAAAGGAAGAATAAACAAATGAATAAACATAAAGTAAAATACAATAGAAATGCAGCAGTTGAGACATCATTGCTTCCAATAATCTGCAAGGGGGTCCTGCCACAGCAGAGGCCTGAAATTCACAGGGCCCAGTGCAAACCCATAGCTGATGACACCCCAGCTCAGCACGACCAAAACACCCACAGGGCAGTCAGAAAGAAGGCGAGGCTAGCTTACATGAGGGGCTACTTCATTCATCCTGCAGAACCATTTTCCTTTTGGCTAATCAACTTTCCTCTTCTAACCCTACTCTTTTGTAACCCCACAGAGTTTTGGCAACAACGGATTTGAGAAGGAACGCCTTGAAGGTGTTGCTGGGAATCCAAGGTAGTGTGGAAAATCTAGGAGCCACAGTACATAGGGCTCATCTTGGGCTGGGACAAAAAGAAAATCAGTATTTGGGGGAAAAGCAGAGTAGCTAAATTAATTTCATCAGAAGGGGTTAGCACAGAAGAATGAAACCATGGAAACAGGAAAAGAATGAGGATGTTCCAATGAGGCACCTAAGCCAGTCCTAGCTCGCGGGCCAGGTCTGTAGGGGCAGCAGCCTTGCATTTCTGATTTGCATGGCACTTTTGTTTTTGGGAGTTCACAGATGAGGTAATGGTCCATGAGGTAATAGTTTTATGAGAGAACAACTAGTGGTGGGGAGGGACAGGCAGCAGACAGACTGGTTAAGCGAATGAAAAGTGATAAATGCTCCAACCAAAACAGTGGCCTGAAAAAAGAAGGAGTGGGTTAGAGGGAAGTTTAGAGCCTTGCTACTCAAAGTGCAGGTCTCGCACCAGCAGCCTCTCGTTTCCTGAGAGCTAAATAGAAGTGTGTCCCCATCCCCATCCCTGACCTGCTGAGTCAGAACCTCCACCAGACAATTCACATGCACAGTAAAGTCGGGGAATAATTGGTTTAGAGCACAGCATCTTTATGGCTTTGTTACTCCGTGGAGGCTGAAAGGGAGATTCAAGGAGACTCCCAGATCTTAATTCTCTAGAAAGTACCTAATAACACGGCAATACAACAAACAAATATGAATCTAAACAGTGACATTATATGGCAGGAAACACATGGTAAGAGTCACATTAGTCAAAGAATTGAGGAAGGTTCCTGAGAGACCAGAAAAGATTTATTTCTTTATAGGTCAGAAGTGGAGGATCAGTGTTCAGTGCAGCAAAGGGCATATTTAGCTCAATGATCGAGATAAGATTTGAGGCCACAGTCCGGTATTCTAAAGAGTTCAGATTCAATTCTGTAGGTAATGAGAAACCATTTTTTTTAATCAAGGTGATATGGTATCAAAAATGGAAAAGTGAAAGGGAGGTTGTGAGCAAAGAATTAACAAGATTTGATGAAAGGTTAGTTACAGAGGACAAAGGAAAGGGAAGATGCAGCAATGGCCCGAAATATTTAGGCTGGGCAAAGGGGGGAATAAGAAAGCGATTAATAGACTACGGGGGAAAGTTTAGAGAAAAATAATGATTTCGATTTGGGACATGCTGAGTTCAAGACGATGGGAACAAAGCTAGTTGAAACTGTTCAGAATGTTGCTGGAAGTATGCATAGAGAATTCTGGGTGCATCCGGAGGTGGAAATATATGTTTATGAATTACTACAGTAGCAACGATAGTTGTAGCCATGGGAGCGGGTGATATCTGTGAGGAAATTCAACCAAGAGCAGAATAGAAGGCTGACCCGGGAAAGCATCTACACTAGAGGGAAGAAAACCCCTAAAGGAGTCAGAGGACATACAGACGGAGACCCGGGGGTGTTCAGCCTTGGGACTGAAAGTCACTAGGTTGTCTAGGCACAGTGTTTTTCAGACTGCATATTGTGACCCAATAGAGCATTGTAAAATCAACTTCATAGGTATAAACTACATTTTTTAATAAAACATAAGAAACTGGAATGGAATCAAATATATCAGCGTCATCTCATGCAGCAAAGGTTAGCAGTGATCTGAGAAACTTGTATTTCAAAGCACATACATACACAGGTGTGCCTATTGGGAATGTGATATATAAAAAATGTTTTCCTTTATTGAAAAAAAGAGGTTGTCTAGGATGTTGTGTCCATATAAGATCTGAACAAGGACAAACATCTGGAATGAACTAATGAGCAAACTGAAAGTGTTTGATGTCCCACATGGTGCTTGCGTCTGTCATGTGAATGTCACCAAGGGCTCTTTGTTTCTGCTCTAGTCAGTGGATAAATGTCTGTAGCGCAGGCCCACTGTCTGAGCATTGCTGTGCTGTTGCTCTCCTGCTCCCGCAGAGTAGCCCTGAGAATGAAGTAAAACCCCTCAGAACCGAGGCCACCACTCTGTTGACCGATGGCTAAAGCTACGAAAAGGAAAAGTGTAAGCTGCTGAAGTTTTTAAATGAATAAGAAAGCATTCAGTTTCTTCCACTCCAAGAAACCAAACTGACTGAATTGAGTGGGTGAACTGGGGCCCCAAAGTTAGTGCCTTTGGAGTGAGGACCGCCTCCGGCTGGACTCGGGTGTCTGGCATCCATGGTTCTAGTAGCGCCACTGATTTTATAGATGATGACTTTCTGGGAGGGCACTGTTCCTTAAAGTTTAACCTCATGCTATCCTCCCACATTATTTGAGCTTCCCAGTGTGGCACCCATGTGGCATAGAAAATAGAAGTGCCAACATATCTTCCATCTGACCTCCCCTGTGTTTATATCAATGAAAGAGTCATTGTAGAAATTTTTGCAGAACATCCTGCTCCAAGAGAATTACAACAACAGCTAAAGGCACAGTTGAATGGCCCTCATCCTACCTGTTCTCACATTGTAGGATAACTCTACCAAGATTCTAGAGGTCACAGTTCACTTCTACTCTCCTCCCCAGAAAAAGCTTAGCTTAAACTAAGCTTAGCAAATTTGTAAATATCCTCTTGTTAGGAATTTAGCAAAAATACACAGAGTTGCAACAATTCAATTTAGTTCTTCAAGTTGAAGTAAATTTTAAAAGCCATGACAAAAGCATCTTTAATAATTGTCACCACTATTTAGGGAGCCCTATAAATGCCAAGCACCGTGCTAAGTGTCCTATATGCATCATTATATACCACATTTGATCTTCACAGGAATACTAGAGGGTGAAATTATTAGTCCTGTTTTACAAACAGCAACAGAGAAGTCCACAAAGGGTAAATAACCTGCCTAACGTACAGCAGCATTGAGATCCAAGCCTACCTCTGTCTGACTCTAAGTCTAGTGCTTTTAATTTCTTCTATTTTTAACATAATTCTAGAAGGAATCTAAAATACCTCTCAGTGCAATTTCTTTATCTTTCAAATAGGGACTGTACACTTCAAGGGATTAGGTGATTGTACATGCTCATAGGATTGATACATCACAGGTAATCATTCTAGGTATATTAGAAAATATAGTTAAGCAAAAAAAGAGTGGAACTAATTAAAATCACCTAAATATCTCTCACTTAACTACTGCTACAGTCCCAGAACTAATCCGTCCATATCCACTCTAGGTCCCCTTCAAAACATTGTTCAGGCTGTAACTAGAGGGATCTTCTCAAAAGAATATCTGATTAGGCCACCATAACCTTGCCACCCCCACACCCGCTCTTACTGTTGGATAGAAATGCAAATCTGGAACACGGACCAGGAGGCCCTACCAAGTCTGGCGGCTGCCTCTCCAGCCTTGTCTCACACTGCTCTCTCTTACCCTCTGTACTTCTGCCCCGTGGCCTTTGGCCGAGCCCTAGAACATGTACCCATCCCTTGTCCTTTGTCCTTGCTAATGCTGCAGCCTAAAATGCTCTGGAACCCCCACCTCCTTACCTGTGGTTCATACCTCATCCTCTCCATCCTAACTTAGGAAAGACTCCCTTGACCCTCAGCCCTTTGTTAGGCACTTTGATCCTTTTCTCCCCTC